AGGTAGAGTAGATAGATAGGCAAGGATAGAAAGAGGAGTGGTAGTGTAACCGTTTTCGGCAGAACGTTTTTCGAAGGATTGACTTCACTTGTTCGTAGCTTGGTGCGGAGAATGGCAAAACTCACTAATAATGCCGGCGAAACGTTTGAGAATGTACCAAGTCCACTATCTGATGCTGGGAATCAAAACAACTACTATGGCAGACGACTTCAGACTCGGTGCGTTCTACATAGTCTTCCTGAACACAAGACCAAGTTGCGACAACGAGGCCAATCCACTTCTTAAGTTCCTAAAGTTTATAAAAAAGAATCAAAAGAGGCATAACATAAAAAACAGTAAACAAAGGAAACAGCGTGAAGATACTGCAACGGATCTAGTTTAATAAAGCGAAATCTATCTGTCGTCGATCTTAAGTAACGTAATAAATAAAAAATATCTGGACTAGTGCCAAAAGCTGTAGTTTAGTAGAAGGTTCCACAAAAATGTGGAAATCTTGTTAAGAAATGTCAAAGAGCACACAAATTAATAATGAGTGTCGGTTTGATCTTGTTTTCATAACTTGGACGCAGCGTCAGGAAGACCTTGTGGAAAGTACCTAGTCCTGTGTCCTCTGCCATAGTATTCGTGATTTCCAGCTTCAGACAATTTACTTGGTACATTCACAATCGTTTCGCTGGCATCGTCACTAACAGAGTTACAAGTTAGAAATGAAGTCAGTCTCCTCGATCAATTCTCTGTTAAACAGCTGTGGCAACACTCCTCTATCCGATTTTTCGTTCTATCTCCAGCAGCTCAAAAACAATCGTAACTTGTCATTTGACCTTCCTTAACTGTTGAAAACGTTATGGCATCCCTTCCAATCTTTTGCAATTCCGATAAGGTCAATATTATATTATATTAAGCTTCTTTGTAAAAATTAGATAAGACATATGATAGGGAAAGGGGAAAATAATTAAAGGTTTTAGATATTAAATCTGGAATCAGGCACGATTTTAGTCAGGTTCTCACACATGATGATTTCCTGAAACTACAGAGGACGTCAAACAAAACGTAGTAAAGGAAATCTGACTTAAGCAAAAAAAAGAGCATCAGAAGAAGCTGAATAAATATGTGATTTATAGGCAGCCCAAGGTCTAACCATCAGGCAAAAATGAAGATGCCTCTAGGACGACAAAATAAAGTAGTGGATTTGTCTTCTGTCCCACTTGACCTGGAAACCACAAAAATCCTCAAGGGACTATATTTCGCACTTCGGAATGGAAAAAAGGCAATGAAGGACATTTTAGTGGAGTTGATAAATACTTCCGAGAAGCTACCTGAAGAATCAAGAGAGCTGGAAATGGTCTAAAATGAGGAAAACATCAGGAAACGGAAGATGAGGGAGACTGTTGACATCCTCTTCAAAAGAAACCCGATGAATAGGAAATTAGAAAAGGGAAGAGTAAGTGATAATTTCGCGTACTCCCTGGACGGACTTAGAGATTCAGCGAAGACATAAAAAAGAAGACACTCAAACCCAGGACAGCCGTTAAATCACAGGAAGAGATATCACCAAGGAGCGGCTCATTAGGGACAAAGGGAAGTCAAAAAAGCCTAGTTCAGTGAGAGAAATAAAACCTGGAATCGGCAAAAAAAATTTACCAGGGGGTTCTACCTGTGGGACGTAGGATATGAAATTAAATGCTAAGGGTATAGGTGGACCAGATATAGGTCCCCAGAGTGTGTAGGTGCATTTTTCGTGTCTCTGCCTGAAGGGGAGGTGACTCCTGAAACGTCTATCCACGGAGGATACCAGCCAGCACACATATGAACATCTTGATACCCTAGGATCTAATGGGAGTGTCAACTTGAAGGACAAGTAGAGTGTGCTCTTTGCGACTCGAGGGGTAAAAGGGGAAGTGGTGCATTTTCACACCAGCTGAAACGACTTGAGCAGGAAACAGGGACCCAAAGAATGAGACACAATGTGGGTGGGGATGAAGGAGAGGATAATCGAGTCATGGGTTTGAAGCCTAGTTTGATGTCCACACCCAAGCATCGGAATCATCTGTTCTAAATCCTCTAATATGGCACAATCGGGGAAGGAAATTGGAGGCTTTCAGACAGTCAGACAGTGATTTTGATGTTTAGCAGCGACTAATTGACAAGAGGGGTAGGGGAAAAAAGCAGTGTAGGTCAGGAGCCCTGCAAACGGCACCTGGTACAGGTGGTGTAGATTATTACGTTTAATTAAGCCCACTTGCAGAGATAAAATCTTAGGCGACATTGGAGTAAACGAGAGCACAGAATTGCGTGAATAAGTGGATGGGCCATATGAATTGGGGTTGAGAGAAAGAAATGCAGCACTAGAGGTTAGAACAACGAATAGGTGTGAGGAGTGATGCCCCAATGGTTGAACAGAAAATTGGTCAAGGTGAATGCCTTCACCTATAACTCTGTGCTCACGATGGCGCCTCTCACTGACGATGTCGGCGAAACGTTTGGGAGTGTACTCAGTAAATGATCCAATGCTGGAAATCACGAATACTACGGCAGAGGACACAGGATTAGGTACGTTTTACAAGGTCTCCCTGACGCTACGACAAAGTTGCAAAAACAAGTTGGAACGAACACTACACGACTAAACAAAAGGCCAGACCATCTTAGTCTTCCTATCTACGATTTAATCACGTAAGCTTGACTTAAATATTTTTCAAATAAAGTATAAATATTACATAAGTCAAATTATAATTGGGACTAATGAAAGGAGGACATACATCCTTTTGTTTTGCGACTATCTCGGAGAATTCAGTGTATACAATATTCGGGTAGAGCTCACAACCCATCAACGTTGCGCCCTCATACTCCTTGATATAGCCCTGATAAGACTGCCGCGATAGTCGGATCTCCTTCGAGAAGCCCTGTTTTCGGAAGTATCCGGTAGCAAAAGAGTCAGCATAAGTCAGGAAATGGTAAATTCCGTGTTGCACGTGATAATCTTTAAGATGATTCATCATCTGGGTGCCATAGCCCTGAAAAAAGTAGTGAGTAAAGGAGTAGGTAAAAGGGAAATAAATTATTTAGGGCTAGAATATGTAAGCGAGTAAAAATAGCGATCCTAGCCCATGGAATTTTGATAAAGAAGTGCATGATATAGGGATTAATATTAAGGTTTACTAAAAGATTTTTTTGAATAAAATCGAGTGGCTAGTATATATGGTTAAATTATTCAGGATAAAGGGTGGGGGCAAACAAGATAAAAATAAGTCACAAACTAATGTATAATGGATTATAAGTTAAATCAAGATAAAAAAATAGAATCTCCATAAAAACAGCAAGAGTCCAACTTGTAAATTATCTTAAATACTATAGCAGAAGACCAGGTACAAGATACACCTACTTTGATACTTGTGACAACAATACCAAGTTGCCAAAACGAGATCAGACCATGTCTATATATCGAAAGGAGACTGCAACTAAGATAGAGGCCACAACATCGTAATCTTCATACTTCTGAGAGATAAAGTCCATAATCATATTAAATCGATCTTAATTTGCAATGAGATCTCGGAACAACGTGTTACGTTTGTGTGTTAGAAGTTTGCTTTACTAGCCCTTTTATATCTACGAGGAAAGGATGTATGATAACCAACCGCTAAGGGTTAAGGTAAACAAAAAGTATCGAGCAACACACAAATTGGAAAATTTTTCATTTGAGACATAAGCTAAACGAAAGGCCATCAAGTATAGTAAAGCATTCATGTGAATATTCTCAGGGGAAGGAAGTGAATTATTGGTAAGTTCCTATGAAAGTGCATGAAGAGATTTGAAGAGATTTGAGAGAGCGACTGATTCCCGTTGTACTGCAGCCGTTTAAGTTTAATAAGGCGTTCAGGTTGACACAGTCCATGAGATATCCTTCCTCGCTTTGGGTGAAAACGGGCTGAACTTTCGCCCATAATATGATGGATATCATCAGAGCTTGAAGTCATTCTTGTAAAAATCGCAGGTTAACACTAGGTCAAGAGGACTATCCGGATGTATCTAACCTCTTATTTAGATTCAATTAGACAAATTAACAGGAATAAATAGATATAGAATGGTTTGGATAATTATCTTTCATAATCGTCCCGCTACTTTCGCTCGCGTGCATGTGTTTATTTAATTCAGTTTATATAAGAGGTAAGATAAAGCCGGGTAGTCCTATTGGCCTAGTGTTAACGTAAGACTTTTACTAAAATGGCTTCTAGCTCTGCTGATGTCCATCATATGATGGATTAAAGCTCAGCCCGTTTTCACCCGAAACAAGGAAGGATATCTAGTGGACTGCGTTAACCTGAACGTCTTATTAAACCCAAACGGCTGCAGTACAACAGGAATCAGTCGTCCTCTTCTGGTGAGATCGACCTTCGAATCTCTTTCATCGAGGGGGATAGAGTAGACAAGGTAAATATGCAGGTGTGATGACACCACACTAAACTCGCCCAAAGAACACACCTATGGAGGAGTCGAATATAGCCAAGTCAGAAGTTGTGATAGGGCGGGAGTGAGATAATAAGTTAAAGTGAGGAGATATTTTAGGACAGAAAGAAGAGTTATAGCACAACAGTTCGGCAGAAAGTTGGTCAAGGGATTGAAGTCATTTGTCTCTTGGTAGCTTGGCGCTGAGACTGGCAAGAATCATTGACTATGCCGGCGAAACAACCGGGAATGTACCAAGTCCATGGTTCAACATTGGGAATTATTATAACTACTATAGCAGAGGACCTCAGACAAAGTGCGCACAACTAGGCCCCTTTGACAACATGACTAAGTTGCGAGAATGAAGTACGACCATTTTTATCCATAAGTAATTTAACTGACTCTATCCCGTTATTTATCTAAGTCCTGCCCTAGTATCAGGCAAGTCAAGCAAGGACTTCCATTTTTATGAATATGCACATCATCATTTCTTTTAATATGACCATTCTAACTTTATCGAAAAAAAGACTACGTGAGACTTGGGAAAAATATATGAAAGGATGATATATAGCTAAGAGACATAAAAAGAGGATAATGAAGGGAGAATAACAAGACGAAGCAGCGAAATTTCGGCAGATATATTTAGCCTGCGTGCATATAGGCTATGATCTGTGGCTATTTTCATTGATGGTTGTAACAATAATGTGGAAATTCTAAAGTTATCAGATCAAAGGTCTAACGATAAAACACGACCATAATAAAAAGGACGAAATAAATTCATTCTTTAAAGGTTTGGAAACTAGATTGAACCTAGCTTATTTATAAATTTATTAGTATGTTCTCATAGTACAATTACATTTCTGAATGGTAATCACTAAAACATAATTAATAAAATCATTGTTTTTGCCACACGTATTTAGTGAAGG